TCGCCCAGCTCGGAGACGTGGTGCCCCAAAGGAGATTAAAAAACAATGAATTTCTTTACATTAGCAATCTCAAAAACAAGTTTGGACAAGCTTTGCAAGCTTTCTATATTAATTGGTGGGGTTTTGTTTCACCAAGCATGACGGGACTTTCCCCAAAAGAGGTCTTGTATAATTGACACATGGCTAAGTTGTGGACAAAAGATCAGAATTAAATCACCCTTTCAGCTTCTCCCTGGACTGGAGAGAGGGAGCTGCTTCTGAACAGAGCAGATGTGAAGTCCTTTCTCACACGACTGGGTAGTTGGTTTCAACCCAAAGGTTTGTGGGCAGTGTGGAGCCAGCTACTCAGCCATGTTGTTGAAGCCGAGACCCTGGCTTCTTTTGAGAAATGGCTGGATAAGATGCTTGGATCAATTATCTGCTAATGACCAAATAGGCTACGTACGTGGCCCAAACAAACTCTTCTCATTTGAAACCTTTTCTTATCGTTCTTACAGAAAGCGTTGTAAAGTAAGCTCTCTGTAAATGCGGTGATACTGAACACAGTAATATTGTCATCGTAACGTTGTAACATACAAATCTCCTTTCTTTCCCAATCCACTCAGCGGGGCCTGTGTTTCTGAGATAAATGGCTGACTGGCCACTGTCTTACTTGAGATGTTTTCAGCGAATGACTTGACATCCACCCTAAAGATTCTGCATGCTGGCGTTTTGCTCTTGTGATCGCACCAGTACAGTACGGTGGGATAAGACGGGCACAACTAAACCAAGCGGTTGGAAATTCTAATCAGAAAACTAATCACAGGGGGAGCAGTCCTGGCATTGGGATTCCAATGAAGTGCAGGCTATTGCACTTCATTGCTCCAACCAATCCTTATCGAAATGATTATCTGCAGCACCTGCATTAATTAGGCAATTAAGGCTCAATGTATCACTTAATGTATTGGAACGTTTCAAGTATTGAAAGGGCATGGACTCCAGGAGCTAAGGTTTACCACCCTTGCTCTAGTACTTCTCCATATTCTGACTTAAACTTCTGTCTCCAATCATCGAAACTTGAATTATTTCCGAACAACGGGAAGCTAGCTCTGCAATGTGATTTTTTTTAGGTTATCATATTTATAGCTCGGTTTACTGTGTACGTTAGGGTTCTCAAGTTCAGTTCCTGGAAGGTCTGGTGTCGTCTGGTTTCTGTTCCACCTGAGCTCTCAGTTACATAGTTGGTGTAATTATTTAATTAGCTGCATAATCTCAGGCTCTGGTGTGTTTTATAAATAAGGTCTTTTACAGCAGTTCTAAGGTACAGTTAAGAAATATCCTTCAACTATTAAGGTATTTGTTTAATTGTCTGCTCAGGCTGGAACACAAACCAGAAGACACTAGGTTCTCCAGGAACAGAGTTTGATGTCTTTGTCTAAATAGCTTGTTTCAAAGACGGAGTCCTATTGAACACAGTTTTCACCCAGTTATTCTTACTGCAGTGACTGAAACATTCGTTAAAAAATTCTTTCTGAGTGTTTTGTCTGATGAACTGTTTTATACACTGTGCACCATGAAGTACTTTCTTTTTGTCTGAGAATTGCATGTGATAACCGATTTTGTAAAAATAAATATTTTATGTATTTTATAAATAAATAATGATTATACTGAAACCCCATTTTTCGTGAGGCCTGAATTGATTGGGAGCGAACCCTACAGCAGGGGTGACCTTCAAAATCCCTAGCCTGAAACCCCGCAGAGTGTTCAGGATTCACACCTGTCGTGAACCTCTGCAGGATACGTTCTCAACAGAGATTACTACCTGTCCGGCCTGCGTGTAGAATTAAGCGAGATCAGGTTGCAAATAACCCCATCCAGAGGTCATGCATAATAAGGCACCTGCTTGTTTACATAATCTCCGAGTCATTAAGCCTGGCTCGGGAGGAGAAATGAATGGCACGCACATATTGTTCTAGTAGACACAATAGCGCCCCATCCCATGCACCAGATACTCTCCACTGCTTCTCTCCGATAAGGCAATTACTGTACATGGGAGCGCTTGGTGTCGAATGAACCAGTTATGTAATCCCTATCTAGCCAGAGGGAGCAGATGCAGGGAGTAGATACAGAAGGTGGTGGGGAAACCTGAGGCCATCACTGGTACAGAACTGCCTTCCATCCCCGCAAGTTTCAACACACGCAGCCTCAAAATGGCGAATAATATAGTCAAGATCTAACCCATCCTGGGAACGCCTGGGATTTAGGAGTATAAAAGCCCAGACCTCTAGGTTCAAAGAAAGCATTCTATCCCACAGCCACAAGACACCTAAACTCTACCTCTTAAATCCTTCTACCCCCCACTGACACCCCTCTCTTTTGCACTGATCTGAAAATACTGCCACTGCTGAAATTTGCACACAGTGCTATCTAAATGCTGGCTAAACTTAAACCAGTTATATCCTGTTCCCATCTCCAAGAACTGCAATGTCATTTGTTGTGCCATCTTTAATGTCATCTGCTAGAGCATTTGTCATGTGAGGAAAACACGCAAGCAAGCCTTTCATTGTACTCAAGTCCATACAGTATGACAATAAGCTTGAACTTCAGATAGCGGCCACTCCAAAAAGGACCGTGCATTTGCCTTCACATGACTAAGTCTTTGGCTGCAGCAGCCAACATATGTGACAGTGTGTGCAATGGAATGGGGCGTTTCTTCTGAATTCCACCTAAAGGCTGATAATTCCAGTATTACAGTCTAGCTAGACTCTCTGTCTGCTCCCAATGACGGGCAGCAACTGAGCGACCCCCCTGGAAAGGACAGGGCTCAGCTTAGGCGATCCTGCCAATACTGCATGTCACAGGAACACCTCGTCAGCACACCATTTAAAAAGAGTCTGGTGCACAGTGTGTGAGTGGGGGACCTGGGATCAAGGGGTGCGGTCAATATTCATAACTATCTGATCAGTTCTTTGAAGTGGCTACACAGTATTATGCTCTTGACATTATACCTACATGGACAATAGTCTGATTTCAACAGCTGTGTCAACAGGCACAGACACAAGAACATAAACCGACTGCGGATGTGAAGAGACTGTTGAGTTCACCTTTGCTTGTTTGCTCAATAGCACATGTACTGCAGAATTTCCTTTGAGGATCCAATGCACCTGCTTTCAACAGCATAGTTGGGTATTCTACTCTAAGTACACTGCAATGAAGAGTTTATACTAAATACACATGAATAATATCTCATTTGTCATACTGTAGGTGTTCTTTAGACAGTTGAAGTGTAACAGCGACGGGTGGTGTCGTCCCACTGCCCTCTAGTGGCTATGAGAGGAAAGGTCAAGCAATACAAAAATAACAGACTATTTCAAACGTTAATTCTTCAGTCACAAACATTAAAAATACATCAATAAAATCATGGCAGATTACAATGTAAGCCCACCTGCTACAAGAGGCAAAGATCTCTGACACCTTGAAGTCTCACTGCTGGTCAATTAATCAATTACAATAATATCAGTTAGCTGGTAGGTCTTACATTTTCACATAGGTGTTAGGATGTCCTTGGACGGCTGTGTTAAGGAAGCAGTCAGGGCAGTTTGCTTTTCTTGGGAGTCTTGGAGTGAAAGGACTAGTAAGATTCTGTACCATACAGTCCCGTCTTTGTGGATTTTCCGAGTTTAAATCCCTGAAGCCCCCTTGGTTAATGGTTGAGAGCGTCACAAACACGGTACTGCAAAGATCCATTTCAAAGACAAAGAATTCTTATGGCAGCATCAACAAAACAAAATAGTAAAACATCCCAAGTCATCCCACCTGACAAGAAGACACCAATCGTGCAGAAAACTTGCTGTGTTTTTCGATAACACCTTTTCACAGTGAGCTGACCCCACAGTACAGATGTTCACAGGTAAGTGCATATAGACCTGCTCTCCACTGGGCCCTAATTAGCTATTTTTCTGACCCTGCACGCCAATGCTAAGGAACACGACAATGGGACAGCGGAACGCAATTATTAAAGATGAAATATGATGTCACTCACTGATAACGATGAGTGTGGTGTTAAAACCACTGCAGTGAATTAGTCTCCTTTCGCCTCTTATTAAGTTTACGTTCGTCCATATACACAGAAGAAAAATAATTCTGTATCCCAATGCAACGTTACACTGGAAAGGTTTGACTTTTATTAGAGTAACTCCTTTACTGTTAGAGAGTTTTGTTATTACACTGAATGACCTTGGCAGTTGGGTTTGCTTGTTTGAAAGTTGGCCAAACTTTTTTTTTTAACTGACTGACCAAGAAAACGCATTTTCTGCTAAAAAATAAACATTACAGAGCTGGCAAATGATTTTAAGATAGAGAGGGGAAAAAACAGCACCACATATCAATTCACTCCCCCCAGCCATGGAGTTAATTTGTATTTTCACCTTCATGATAGCTTATTTAGCTCAAACCTCCTGTTAGGGAGTTATTCAGAAGAATATTCACACTAGGCTAGAACGAACGACCTCAATCAGTTCATTAGTGGCTTAATTGGACCTGTTTATCAGCCTCCCCGAGCTCTTCAGGTGCTGCTGCTTTAAAGAGGATAGAACACCTACAGACACACTGACCAGCCATCTAGGACCAGACCCTGAATGACCTTGGGCTAGACAATCATGAGGCAAGCCTTCTTCTGAGGCTTGATGACAAAGCACTGGACACTCCTCTTCCAGCAAGCTCTTTCAGGCTTGAACAAGAGATGGGCAGGACTGATGTGACAGTTCACGAGCACCAGGAGAGGACGGTGTGAGAGAGCCGTCAGAGCTGCTGGGGCAGAAGCCAGAAGATGCCAGGGGCATCTCTATACCCCAAAGGGGTCATATCACCTCCAACATGACTCACAGAAATTAGTACAAATGGAATACAATATGGCACACTTGAGCTTCTGCACAAAGCACACATTCCACTTGTAGGTAATGTCATAGGGACCCCGTCACAGCAAGACAAGAAAAAAGCAGAGGGTTTAAAAGACCATCATGAGCAACAACAGCTGTGATGTGTGGCAGAGGTGGTTGAGAGACAGTACTACTACTTCTTCACTACCTAACTGAAGGCTTCACTGCAAAATTGTCCAGTCCTGGTCCTGAGGGTCAGTGTGTCTGCAGGGATGTCCAGTCCTGATCCTGGGGGCCAGTGCATCTACAGGACTGTCCATTCCTGGTTCTGGAGGGCTAGTGTCTGCAGGTTTTCAAGCCAGCTCAGCACTAAGTGAGGTAAATCAGCTGGTTAAAATGCTCCAGTGAAGCCAGTAACAACTTTTCCCAGCTCTGCAGATGCTGCTGCTTTAAAGAGAACAAGAGAAACCGCAGAGACAATGACCAGCCCTCCAGGAGCAGGACCGGACACCCCTGTAGTAAAGCCTTCAGCTGGACAGGAAGGAAGTGCAGTATGGTCTTTCCTAGCACACAGCTGAGCACAGAAGCATACCCACTTCCCACAATTCACCGGAGGGCTTACATTACAGCACCCTTCACCCACCTTTAACACACCTAGACATCATTAGTGCCACTTCCAGGGTGAGCAAACATCCACCATACTTAAGAGAGGTATTGTTGATAAATTGGCACAGTCTAACTATAAAATTATAGTATTAATAATATTTATTTACAAATTCATGCATGGCATTTCAGGAACTAGGTGCCAACCAAAAGTCCCGTCTCTGCTGATGGAGGGACTGGGCTGGGCAGATAGACGCTGTGCAGTCCAGCTAAAAGATCTCTGGTACTTCCTGGTCAGGCTCTTTGTACTCTCAGATGTTCATTATCCAACACTTCCTTGTCTGAATCCAGCCCCTCGTTCAGCTTGTTGATAAAACATCCCGAAGGGATATTCATTTTTCTTTTTTCACACACCAGGGCCACGATTCTCATCAAACACATAGGAGGAGCTCCGAAGTCACTGATTAAAACAAACTACACAGAACACATGGGGGGGATTCGGCTCATCTGAACCGCTGACAGGAGTCTCTCTTGCATCTCTCGCTCTTTTTTTAAATTCCTAGCATCCTGCAAGAAGTCCCGGCCTCCCCCATCTCTCCCTCAAGGGGACAGCCTCTGGTATATCCATCCGCCTTCCCCTCTGTGTTGCATCACGCCATCGACGGCGTCTCCCTCCGCCGGCTGCAGGAAGACGATGCGGTCGTGCAGGCGGTTGGTCTGACCCTGCCAGAACTCCATGACCTTAGGCCTGAGGATATAGCCACCCCTGCAAAGAGGTGGACAGGAAACCCAGTTCTTCAGGAGGAGAAATTACCATGAAGAAATTAGTGAACAAATGGACTTACTCAAGCCTAACAATCAATACTGCACTGTCTATTGATCAGGACTATAAAGAGGCTCCCAGCTCTGCTCCTAGAGGAACACTGTGTCTGCTAGGTTTCACTCCAGCTGAGTCCTACGGCTCCAGTGCTAACCGATGACTTAATTGATCTTAATTAGGTGTTTAGACTTTTAACATATTTCATCAGTCCATCAACGTCAAGAGCACTGTTTCCAACAGCTTCAGCACACAGAACATTACACAACCTCTCCTGAGCTCACTGGCTATTATTTCTGACTAAGCAGCTGCTACAAGTCTGACAGCTGATGATGAACGGACAGGGGGAATAACACCGCCTCACACATTCTCATCAGTGTCCACAGCGGACAGTGGAGGACCTGCACTAACAGCAGACACCTCCATCAGCCCACAGTGGGAATGACCTGGCTGGAATCGCAGGGCAATGGTGTTTCCAGTACAGGAGTATGGTCATTAGGTACCATAGTGAAGCAGGATATGATGCAAAAGTGCCAAAGCACACTGCACCACGCTGAAGGGACATAAAGATTATGAATGGTCATTTATCAGGTCTGTGCAAGTCGGAGGACAAATTAAAGAGAATCCTCTCTGCCGCCAAGAACTAGTGACAACCAGACACTTCAGCGCTCATAATCACTAAGCGCTTGTGTTTGTGCGCGACTCAGCTGTCTGAATACCCATCAAGCTGGAAACTGGAAATGTCCCACATGGGCCACACTCACCAGTAGTCTGGCATTGGTACCTCTTCACCCTGATATTTCTCCTCCAGCTCTGCGTTTTTCTGCCTCAAGTACTGCAAAACAGGGAGAGACGTCCACTTAACCAGCAGCCTGCTTAACAGACCCAAACAACAAGCACTGAGGGGGCTTCAGGGTTCCGCGTGCTTCTGAAGACACACCACTGGAAAAGTCACTCTGCTTGGCTGGGAAGCCCCGGAGTGGTGGAGTGGGGTGGGGTGGGGTGGGGGCTCACCTCTCGGCTCGGGATGACGGAGCTCTGCCGGCTCACCACAGCTCCGATCTGGCTGCTCTTGGGCCGGGAGTGGAAGTATTCCTCGGAGCTCTCCCTGGGAATCCGGTCCACCGGGCCCTCGATCCGCACCTGCGGAGGGAGGAGAGGAACGGATCAGGAGCGCGGCCAGCGCCTCCTCTCTCCGGTCCGGAGGACAGCAGGCAATGACTCCAGAGTGACTGACTCACGCCTGCTGCTCGTCATCTAGGAGAGCATTTCCAGCTCAGCTGGGGCTCCGCTGGAACCCCAACTGTGATTCACCGTGCTGCACAAGTGTCCTCAACTGTGGCTTCAATACCACATTAACAATTACAATTTGGTAGAGTTGCACTTTGGCAGTGATCACTCAAAGCTGACAAGAAACAGATCATCACTTCACAGGTGTTTCTTACAGTAAAGAAAGTGCTCTGATCAGCTCATTTATTTTTAGAACAGCATAAAAGCAAAAATAAGGCATTTTTACCTTAACCAGGCCATTTCAATCCAGGAAAATCAGGCATCTCCCAGCTGTTAGGTGAATCATCAGTAACCACGTCCTATTTGTTTGTTTTTACTATTTTTGCCCATTTGCAACAAAAAGAAACCACTGATCAGTTCAATTACTTGTGAAAAAAACAAATCTCACCTGTCTGTTTAAGGGCTCCCAGTAAAACACAAGAGCTGCAAATGGATTGCTATCCTGGAGAGAGGAAGCACATTAAGAAAAACTTATGAATGCTAATACACACAGAATACCTAAATGTTGAAGGATATCCAATGGAAAATGACAATTCAATCTCCCAGTAAACTGAACGTTTATAACTCATGTCACAAATTACAGGGCAATTGCTGTTTATTTGAGGCTCTTTTTTGATGACACATTTACTTACTGAGCCCTTGACAACTGAGAATGATAGCAAGGAACAAGTGAGACCCCTGCTGCATAGCCATTTCAGGTTTTAACAACCACTGGCCAGGGCCCAAACGGAGTTGGAAGGTGAGTGGGGGTAGTTCTTGTCAAAAAACAAATACTGTACATCACCTTCCCAAAAGGGATTCCATAAACCCTTAAAGGTGGACGAACAATATGTTGGAGAAGCCCATGGACTCACAGCAGTGATGATCTCGATGGCTCTACCCTGTTGGTATCAGCACTCATGTCCTGCTGCATGTGCTTGTCCAGGCATCTTGATGACTCTGTGCCCCGCCTACCCAGTGACCCTGCCCATCCATCAACACAGTGACCCCCCCCACCCTCCAGCCCACCTGCCCTATGACTCCACCCACCCACCAATCCACTTGCCCTGTGACCCCACCCACCCACCAATCCACTTGCCCTGTGACCCCAGTCCCCCACCATCTAGCCCAGTGACTCCACCCACACACCTATCCACCTGTATTGTGACCCCACCCCCTGTCCTGTGACTCCACCCACACACGTATCCATACCTGTCGTGTGACTCCACCCACACACCTATCCACATGCATTGTGACTCCACCCCCTGTCCTGTGACTCCACCCACACACTTATCCATACCTGTCGTGTGACTCCGCCCACACACACACCTATCCCCATGCATTGTGACCCCGCCCCCTGTTCTGTGACTCCACCCACCTATAGATCCACCTACCATATGACTCCGGCCCCCCCCACTCCCCAGCCCTGTGACCCCACCTGCCCAGTGACCCCCGCCCAGCCCTCACCAGCTCGGCTCCCTTGCGGCTCTCGTAGTTGGTGAAGAAGCGGAAGCCCTCCTGGCTGTAGCCCTTCAGCAGCACCATGCGGGCGGACGGGCGGCCATCCCTGCACACAGAGAGGGAGAGGGAGAGGCCATGACAGGCTGACACAGACGCGATGGCTGAGCGACACACCGCCACCTGGCTGCAGCCCCCTGATTCCCTGGTTTCTGGCACAGCCCTGCTACAGCAGCGCCCCAGCTAGCCGAGTCTCCATCCACGACACCAGACACACCCGAAAATGAGGTTTTACAACGCGCCTGAGAGCATTCGCAGGCCACTCCCAGGGTACTCACTTCGAACACGTTGCTAGGCACATGGCGTTGGCTTCGCCAATAGCAGGGCACTTGGTTGCCTGCTCGAACCAGTCCCCGAACTGCAGGATGGGGTCGAGGGACACCAGCTGGTTCTCTTCGAAGGCCTGAGAAACGGGGGGAGAAAGAGAGAGGCAGGGCAGCACAGTAAACCTCCGCAGAGTTTGCTCAGTCTTCCCCTGGGGCTTTCCCACACACCCTTGCGACTCAATTCCCTTACAATCAGGTCATGTGGCGGCGGTGCCGGTGCTCTGTGGCTCAGGATCTGCGCCTGTGGCTGGAAGGTTTGCCGGTTCAAATCCCGCGGCCGGCAGAGGAATCCTGAGCAAGGCCCTTAACCCCAGCAGCGGCGTATAAATGGCTGACCCTGCGCTCTGACCCCAAGCTTCTCTCTCCCCGTCTGTGTGTCTCAAGGAGAGCAATTCGGGGTATGCAAAAAGACATATTCCTAATACAAGAAATTGTATATGGCCAATAAAGGGATCTGATCTGATCTTAGGTCATCAAGGTTTAGAGCAACCTCCCCTGCGTTTACTGCGATCGACCGCAGGGGGGCGCCAGGAGCACAAGAAAAGAATTGCTCTTTCTTTCAGCACACGACTGGTCTGCATTTGAACTCGAACCCCAACTCTGCGAAGCCACAGGAAGGACAGAACCTTCTTTTCAACAGATTAGTGGGAGAATAAATAAAATAGGAGTTATGATGCAGATGAGGCTGCTTTCAATTTGAGCTATACAGAAACCGTATTAAGTATTTAATTATAGCGGTTAATAATTACTGATTATTATATACGAGCGTGGGCGCGTTGGGGGGATACCCAAATCAATAAACAGTTTTTTTCTGTTGCTTAAATCTCTAACCGGCCAGAATCGAAGATCACAGTGCAGATTACGCAACACTACAGTTTCAATTTCATAACATCTACGTGGGCTCTCCGCGTGAGCGACGCGTCAAAAAGAAGTCAGCGGACAAGTTATTACAGGCTGTAGCGTTAATTTCAACCCCCAGTCCTTCTGTAATGCAGTGCGACAACAAGCGACAAAACAGCGTCTTTCAACGCGACTGCTGCACGACGCCACACGGCTCCCGTGACGCTGAAATATCGATTCAAGTCAGTGAGGAACTCAAGGGCATTTCTGCAGTTGTGTCTTTGAGTACTGTAGTCCAATGGTTTGTGCCTGACAGCACTGCACGCTTTATTTTTTATTTTTTTGCAATATCGAGCAGTGTAAATAAACAGACGTGCATTCCGACTCGTTGTCAATGTATACACTTCAAATGGACTAACACGGAGCACAGCTGCGAGTGTGGCTACAGGGAGTGTCACACCTCCAGCTAACGACACGAATCCTACCTCCGCGTCCCCTTTGTAACTCTTTCTCATATTGCTCAGATCCATGCTTGTGACCGTCGGGTCCGTGCAGAGAAGCGAGGGCCGAGGGAAACAGACTCGGAGCGCCTGGCAAAGAGCCTTACTATAGCAGATCTTCACAGCGCAGGCGGATCTCGCACACTTTAGCATTTTCGGCCGAGAGTGGGCTGACGCAGGCGTGACGTCATCGCGCTTTGACATGACGTTGGCGTGTGCGCCGCCCCCTCATTCATATACTTGATAAACAGCGTCATAATAGCAAAACGACCCGATTCGATAGAAAACATACCTGGCAATATTTAAATACAACATTTTAAGTGCCCTCCACGTTTCAGGGAATGATGAAGTGATTAAGTAAAACAGGTTATGATGCACTTTTTCATCCTCTTGCTTTATTAACGCATCAGGGTTAATGAATATGCACGAGCTGCTGATAGATTGAATAGGAATTTTGGCAATAAAAGTTTTTTTTTCATAAAACCATCTTGGCCTATACTGTCAGCATCACTCGTAATCGATCGAACAAAATGTATTTGTGTGCTAGTTACTTATCCTGAATTCCTAGAAAGATTTCAGTTTCCTGTTACCCCTAAGGAATATACAATAGTTTGTGATGCTATTACAACTGGTCTTACAACTGATTTATTCTTGGATGGCGTGGAAATAAAGGATAAGAAATGTAATAATACGTATATAAGGAAGCTTTGTAAACCCCATCTTATCCCGCCTTGTTTATCTTTTTGGAATGCAATTTTTGAAAATATAAATTGGAAATTAGTTTGGACAACTCCTGATAGATATTGTATTGCAAATAAAGTTAAAGAGATCTCGTTTAAAATTGTTCATACTTTTTATCCAGTTAAATTAGTGCTCTCTAAATTTAAGCATGAGCAGGATGATCTGTGTGTTTTTTGTCGGGCTGAAGGGGAGTCTTTGGTGCATTTATGTGTTAGGTGTGTTTGTGAAGTTGTTTTAGACGGAATTGCAGTTTTGTTTGTAGGCATTTAAAGGTGTTTTTTAGATTTAAGGATGTTGATATTTTGTTGTACTGTGTAAGAAGAAATTTGGAAAAAAGAACATTTATTTATAATAAATGTATTAGTCATTCTGGGTAAATGTCATATTCATAAATCAAAAGGGTCCAATAATACTTTAGTTTTTAGTACTTTTGAGGTGGAGTTGAAACATTATTTAAATTCTATAAACAATTGAAAAATGCTAAAGCAAGGAAAACATTTGATCTATGTAAAAATATAATTTGGTCACATAAATAATTTACCTCATTACCTCTGGCATTTAATTGTTTTTTTCTGTTCATGTGTTTTTTCTCTGTTATCTGTATCTGCTCCTCCAGTTGTATTTGTAAATTCGTTATACATTTAATAAAAAACAATTGTGTGCTAGCGCACAGGGACAGTGTAATCGGAACTCGTCATATCCCACAATGCTCCCGCGCGAGTAAAGACGGAAGAACTTGTGTCGTCCGGAATGCAACGGAAAGACCCGAGACATTCCGAAAGCAACCGAATCGATTCAAGATGGCGGCGACCTTGTGTGGCAGGTTGCTTCCGAGGCTGGGTAAGTGATATCAAACTGAAACGCTGTTTTGCAGGTAGATTCTGATAAGACAGTGTTATAACATAGCTATTGTGAATGTACTAAAACATAACTAGGAAGTTTTAAAAACGTTGAACGTTCAAATTTAATCAGCAGAGGCTGATGGATAGCTACGCTAAACAGGGGTGAGTTTCCCGAAAGCATCGTAAACTCGCTCTTAAGATAGATCGTTAATTTACGAGTGTTTCCCAAAACCTATCGTAACTAAAGTAGAACGTGAAATCCTTCATAATCTACGTGCTCCCCGACCCACTCGTTAATTACTAAGTGCTTCTTAAACTGGCTACCTCTTGCGCCAACCTTAGTGACAGAGATCGCCAGACAGAGCACATTCAATTCACGTCATAGGAATTCTCTGGAAATATAGAATACTAAGAGTTTATATTAAGGATTTTTACGGACGGCTGCGCTGAGGTCGGCTAGCGTGTCTTTTTTTCTCGAACCCCGGCCGCCCTTTCCTGTCTCACACGCCCGTCTGTCTCTCGTCTCGCCCCCCCGGTCCCGGCCAGCCTGGCTCCCCGCGAGGCAGAGCGTGCGCCACGGCTCCAAGGCCGTCACGCGCCACCGCAAGCCCGTGCACTTCCTGAAGCAGAAGCTGCTGGCCGTGACGGAGTACCGGCCGCCCAGGCCCGCCGTGCCGGAGAGATGCATCGCCCCGCCGGCCCGGCAGACCCAAGAGGTGCGCTCGCTCTGTCCCTCCCAGCGCTCAGCGCTTGCCGGAAGCTCAGTCCGCCCAGGAGCAGTCAGTGAAGGGCTGATGCTTAGTGTGATTGTGGTGGTGTGGATTGCTGAAGGAGGGGTGGGAAATGGGATATGTCTGGGTCTACTGTGTAAAAAAAAACACACACATAGTCTATATGTGTAAAAGAGCTGTTTTGATACAATTTACATTTCTGAAAAAAAATAGCAGAGTTTTATCAGATCATATTGTTATACTGGCAACTGAGGAGTGTGGGAGTGCATGCTTTCAGGGTAGGAGAGAGAACAATTCCTTACACTTGTACAGTATTATTAGGAGATTATGATTGGTCTCCTCAAGGGACCAAGGCTAGGGGGGAAATTTGGCCAGGACGCCGGGGTTACACCCCTACTCTTTTCGAGAAACGCCCTGGGATGTTTAATGACCACAGAGAGTCAGGACCTCGGTTTTACTTCTCATCCGAAGGACGGCACCTGTTTACAGTATAGTGTCCCCGTCACTAGACTGGAGCATTAGGACCCGCATGGATCGCAGGGTGAGCGCCCCCTGCTGGTCCCACTAATACCTCTTCCAGCAGCAGCCTCAGCTTTCCCAGGAGGTCTCCCATCCAGGTACTGACCAGGCTCACACCTGCTGGGCTCCAGTGGGCTGCCAGCTGGGAGCTGTGACCTACAGGGTGATTTCTAATCTGTAAAGCGAAACTGTGAAGCAGTTCCTTGTGTTTATTATCCCAGGAGAGCAGCCTGGCGCGGATTCTTGAGCGCGAGGTGGAGGCCATGTTTCAGGAGGGCAAGATGATCGCCGTGGTGCAGAATAACGCCACCTCCGCCGAGGACATGCTGCTGTTCAAGAGCCGACTCCACAAGCACGGCATCGCCGTCCGCTTCTACCCCAACCAGGTGCAGCCCGGGACGTCTGCTGCGCAGCACTAACATCCATTTCGGGTCTTACTGGTAGCAGACTGACTCCTGGGCAGAGTAAAATAAGATCACTTTATAAGCCAATTTCTTGCATTAGGAATTTATCTTTTCGCATACCCCAGCTTGCTCTCCATGAGACACACAGACAGGGAGAGAGAAGCTTGGGGTCAGAGCGCAGGGTCAGCCATTTATATAGCGCCAATGGAGCAGCTGGGGTTAAGGGCCTTGCTCAGGGGCCCAATGGAGTAGGATTCCTCTGCCGGCCGCGGGATTTGAAGCACCTCGCATTTAAATTTAAGATTTGAAACTTTTCTGTTCAGGCCGGTGTGCCTACAATACAGACTCTCACCACCAGAGGGTGGTAGAGTGCAGTAACACAGATACAGCAGGCACTCCGGTTCGGAACATTGTAACTGGGCCAGAGGGAGACTCATTAGGAAGAGCGGCTGTGATTTCTTTTTCTCACGGGCTGCAGGTGATGAGGTCCTTCCTGTCGGAATCCAGATACAGAAATCTGAGCCCCCTGTTCATTGGCCAGAACGTGTTGCTGGTCAGCAAGGAGCCCAGAGTGAAGGAGATGCTGCAGTGCTTGAAGGGCGCCCCCCAGATGGTGCTTCTCGGTGGGTGGAGAGGCGGAGACACTCGACCACGCTCTTTCAAGAGCACTACCGCAGCGCTGGTTCTGTGTTGCAGCTTTACCGGGCTTCTGATCCATGAAGCATTTACCTGCATGTAAAAATCACTGTCAGTGTTACAGTTAGAGAGCCCGTAGGTTCAGAGGACTTGGTTAACTTGTACCTTTGTGCACTGTGAAGCATGAACACGCCAAGGCAGCACCAGTGAGCTTTTCCAACAATATTTCATATCTGTTAAATGTTCTTACTTCTGATTTTTTTTTTTCCCTCCTTTACCTGTAGTTTTACCCCGAATTGGATCGCTGTTGTTCTTGTCCTTGCAGGAGCCTGCGTTGAGGAGACCCTGCTGAGCAGGCAGGGGGTTCTGGCCTACTCCAGGCTGCCCTCCCTGATGGCCGTTCGGGGGCAGCTAGTGGGCGGCATGGCGCTGATGACCTCCCGGACCGCTGCCCTCCTGCAGCACCACCCCGCGCGCCTCTCCGCGCTGCTGCAGCAGTACCAGCGGCAGGCAGGAGGGGGCAGCACTGAGGAGAGCTCGAAACCAGAGCACACAGACCTACAGGAGGTGTAGGGTCCAGCAGGAGATCCACCGTGTGGGCGGTACGATGGGACTGTTCTGTTGTCACCCCTTTCCTCTTGTCCTCTGTCTCAGGGATTCCTGTGTTAGTTCTCTGTAGGAAAAGCGCAGTTTCTATTTATATAATTATTTGCAAATAAGCTGTCGGGCAATACTGGACTTAAACTTGGAGATAGACTCCAGTTTCACAGCTGTTTGATGTTTTTCAGTCCTTAAAAGCTGCAGACACTAGTAAAGAAAGTAGGGGGCAAAGTATCATCTCCATAGCTTTGTATTTTAAGATTTCTCCTTTTTTATTTATATAAATGGGTATCAATTAAAAGTGATACACATTAAAATGCATTCATCCCCAAATGAGAAGGAGTACTGTTTTGATAGAACTGGGTTTTAAATGGCAGTTCAAAACTGCCACCAACAGCAGTGTGAACAATGTGAATTAAATTGCATCACAAGTAGGTAGCTGGAAGAGGTAAAGGTTTATACCATGGTAAAAGGACAAGAAAACCGACACAACATTACAGCTGTAGAGCCTTCTTAAAATGCCACACCTGAAGAAGGCACAGCAGCCAAAGTGTCTGTTTTCTTTTCCTTTCAGCGTGAAGTTGCATCTCAGCCTATTTTACACCTTTGCTCTGCTCATTGTGTAATAAATGATCTTCGGTAGGTTAAAGTTTTAACACTACGTGTGCTACATGTACCTTTACTACATTGGTCTGCTGTCTAGTTATGACTGCGTAGCTTTTTATTAACAATACAGGGTGTAGGCTTTTAAAGGAACACTACTATTTAATAAAACTGCACAGATATAAATTAATTCCATAAATACTGATCTTGTTTACTGTAATCTGTGGCACCACCCATACACCATGAAATCAAATAATTATCACTTCCTATGCATTCCAATCAGAGTGATGTATTTGGATTGTTGTTGACTGTTATGTTTGGGGGGGAAAAAAGGTGTTTGAATTAAAACCAGTTGACAGAGAAGCACTTCTGATCTTGCAGTTGGCACATTTTAATGCGATTGTTTTTGTTTAAAGCAAAGCCTGTCAGTGCTTAAAGGGATCTTAAAGGCGATTTTTGGTGTCCGTAATTCCAAGCGAAAGTGTCGATCATGCCACTGTTCATTGATCATTGCGTGCACCGTCTCCTGAATTTGGAATACATGATCCTCACCAATGTCGGGTTAAGCTTTTAAATTATTCGTCCTTGCATCTGTTTTTCTGTCCGCTTCACCCAGATCAGGATGGTGGAGCCTATCCCGGCAAGCAACAGGCGCAAGGTGGAATATACACCCTGGATGGGACACCAGCCCGGTACAGGCTTGTAAATGAAAACTGGACTCCTTGACTCTTCGGCATCATCATGTTTGTACAGAAGCCTGTGGCTTGTGAACCGTGAACTGTGGCCTCATTCCTGTCAATCCAGCGCTAGCGTCGGCAGATTTAACACTTGAAAAGACGCCCAGCTGTTCGGTGGCGGCAGCGCCCTGTCCCGTGTGGGGAACTGGTTCGGATTCTCCGGATTTCTTGAGTGGTTTTTGTTCCTTCGTGCCGTGCGGGTTTTGCGCATTCCTTCGCTCACTTTCTCCCCGTCACTTCGGAACAGGACGTGCCGGCGGAGATGCAGTCGCTGAATCACCCTGGAAGCGTTCCGCCCGCCACCAGATCCGCTGTTACGCAGAATCTGCCATCCGGAGGGTCATGGACTTCGGATACTGTATAAGAGTAGCCAGAGGATATTCTTGTAATTCTTGTAATTTACAGTCCTGTGATGACAATAGTTTTTTGGATCTATAGAATCAAGAGCCTAAATCTTACAGCCTTGTTTGTATACAGTTTCAATGTATCTTTTGAAGAGGGAGCTTTTTTTTTAAAAAAAATGTAAATATCTTGAAAGTGCTTACTCTTCCTTCAAACAACTGGAGAAACAGGAAGAGTCAGTGAGATTGCAGAGGACTTGTGGCCTTACACAGTATGGTTATTGTCTGCGTGATCTCTGTGCCACCAAACGGACAGCATACCTGTCGTGATTAGCATTTCTTTGGAATGGTGCTTGTCAAAAAGGAATCTGTCTTATCACCATTGACTTTGACTGGGGCTGCTTCAGTAGGATCTGCCCAGAAAGGCATGGCCTCCAGGCATTAGCAACTATTATTGTTGTGTTATTAATCTCTGATTGTGATGTGAAAAGATGGGAAGTGCTTTCGGCCTGCTGACTGGTCGAACAAACCTCTCTTAGAATACAAAAATAGAACCTAAACTAGGCAAAGAGTCTAAAAACACAACAGGTGCAGGAGGTAAAGAATTACAAGATGTAGAAATTAAATCGTAGTGTTAAAAGGGAGCAGTGGCTGGGGCTCTGGATTCAGGACTGGGGGGGTCTAGGGTGTGAGACAGCTGTTGTACCCTCGAGCAAGGTACTTAGCTCAGAATTGCTCTGTTAAGAGACCTTCTGCATAAACTGGTCTCCAGGCATTTGCTGGTATGTGAGAGTCATTCTTGATCGCTGGACTGTCTGAGCTGGTGAAGTAAAGGAATAAAAAGAACTCAAACCTTCTCATCCAGAATACCGTATTGACATTTTTTTCTCTCACTTATCAAAGGGAGTTACTGAAAAAAACTGGATTAGAACACAGCAGCATGGTTCACCTGTTGGCAATAACAGCGCTAACCAAGCATGCATGGTTCAGGAGGAACAAGTAACAAGCTTATTCCGTGCTGAAAAGGGAAGAAAGAAAACGCAACGTTTCGGCTGTGGAGCCTTTGAAGACTGAAGCTGAAACGTTTTTTCTTCTTCTCTTTTCAGCATGGAATAAACCTATTACTTGTTCCTTTGCAACCTACGCATGCTGACACAGCTACCCACCTGAACTACTTCATGCATAGTTGAGGCCTCCGACAGGTTATGATGTTAAGTGTTCAAAAATGTAATTCATTTTTTGTAACTTAAAGTGCATGTTTTTCTAAAACTAATAATCACTTTCTCTTTAATTTAATATGACTATATATATAGAAACCATTGGAAGCAATCTTTTAGTGCATAAATATATGAGCAAATCGCAGCCCTGTGCCCATTGTTTTAAATTTCTTACTGCAGCTTTCACAAAATGTGAGAAATCCAGCTGGGTTTTCTTCCAGCTGAGCTCTCGGTACACACACAACTGAAGTACTAATTGATTTCACAGTAGAATTCAGAGGATCTGTTTGACAGTTTTTAGCTCTTGCATTTGTTGGACGTGCCCTGTGAAAGACTGCATTTCAGAAGTAAAATGAAATCCCTCTTGTAAATGTTCCAGTCAGGCCACTTGCTAGTTCAATTAAGGCAGCGATTGGATTTTTCCAACCTGGGCTGGAATGAAAGCCAGTGGGTGTGTGGTCCTCTAGGAAAAGACTTGGGAACCCCTGCCCCAGGATAAGCCAGGCACGGAACTGCCGAAAAGCTGGACAGATCCGGCCCTGAGTTTCCAGAAGTGTGTGGATTGACATTCCCCCACTGTGATCACCCAGGGCTGGTCGGACAGGTTGGGGGCCCATCGCGACCCTGCTCCACTGGCTGGGCAAGTGGGGAGGGTGAGAAAAGCAAACAACCTCAAGTCTGAGCCGCTGTCGATTTCAACCCCATTGTTGTGACAATGAAGGGGGGAGAAGGTGGGACATCTGCCGCTCGGAGCTGCTGTGACTGGGTCTTTGAAACAGTGGGGTGTGGGGCGTTGCTCCAGGCATCTTTCAGATCTATCGGAGCTCTTTCAGAGCCTTGGCTCTGGTGGCAGGAGATTGCAATTCTAGTACTTGGGGGCCCCAGTCCCTTCCAGTGTTTATTCCCCCACCCCAGCCCATAAGCTACACAATTAGACCCTTAATTGCGGACGTTGATAAGTTCTCTGCTTGGAAACCTCCAATGTTCTCAGCTCAGTTGCGTCTCCCCAACCCTAGAGAGCCGGATTCCTGCGGTTTTCACTGATCGTAGGCAAATAGCTCCCGATGTAGGGGCTCAGATTTGATTGTGCCTTTTCATGCGATGATTCAGTGTTGAACATGAGTGGAGGAATACTGAGCACAGACCCATGCATCCACGGGGGACCGGCGCTGACCCCGTTTCTAAACCAGCAGCTCCTGCAGTTCTGTTAGAAATATCGGAGTTCTGCGCCGCTTGAGTTTTGCTTGAAAGGAAATGAGAACATGAGAGAGGTTATCAACAAGTGGGAGCCATTCTGCACAGCTGGCATGTTTGGTAGTAAAATAGATAATTGACCCCAGAATCTCATCCACCTGCTTTTTGGAAGACAAAAGGATCAGCTTCAACCACATAGCTGCGTGGCTTGTTCCACACTCCCACAACTCTCTGTATAAAACTCAGTTCTAAGCGCACTTCCACATAGTGTCACCTAGTGTCCTCTGGAATTCAGCTACACAATTTCTTTTGTGCGTTGTGTTTCTGCATCTGATGCTTGACCTGTATCTTCCCCCATAAGCCAAACATGAGTGAGTTTGTGTCAGTCCCAGTTCACCCTGCTTGTTCCCTCCAGACGTGGCGAAGGTGACGTTGTCCCACAGCCACTGGGCTTTAAAAAAGCTGAAAAAAGAGTCCCCAGGTTAACACCTCCACACTTAATGTCCCCCCCTCCCAAAACCGATCAAGTCAAAAGCTGACAACAAGAAGGACAATAGCTTTGCAAATTGGGCTCCTTTCGAATGAGAGGGGCCGTTTTGAATAAGCAGGTCTCCCTTTGTGTGTGCGATCACCTCTGCCCAGTCCAGCAGGTGCCTGCCGTGCCCCACCCTGCGCCACACGCACACGAGCCTGTCTAATTCAAGGTGACCGGGGGCAGTGAGCCCTGCTGTAGCCAGTGCCCAGTTTTACTACACTGACCGCTTACCATTACACTAGTTCATGGACACCGAGAAAATGAAAGGTATTTCGAGTGCTGGTGTAGCTATGGATTGCAACAATATTTTTTTTGTAATAAAATGCAGCATAAACATTTGGGAAAAATGCACTGTTAATAGTTTAAAAGTTGCCTGGTTTATTCATATCAAATTAGAACGTGATAAAGTTTACAATAAAGTTTATGTGATAAAGTTTAAGATGCAAAGTGATAAATGTGGCTCATCCAGTCTGGTCAGCAGGAGTTTGTTTATGCTCGAAGAAGGCTGGGCAGCTTGTTCCAGCCCCCCACACATCTTGGTGTAAAGAGGCGCCTGCTGTTAGCAGTTTTAAATGCACCGTCGGTGTTGTTCCTGCTTGTGTCCCCTATTTCGTGTTTCCCTGTTCATTCTGAAGACATCTGCCTGGTGGACCTTTGAGGATTCTGAATACTTTTGCCGCGTTCCTTCGAAGTGCAAAACTAGAAGGGTTCCATTCTTTTAGCTTGTCGGTGTGAAACAGTAATTCCACACGCTTCCTCGAGTATGGGCCCCACAGGCCTGGAGAGGTGCAATCATGTGAACACCTGGAAAAGGGACTGAAAAGCCGGAGAGCATTACAAAGAATTGGAAGTAGCTGGAGGTTCTGACAAAGGCGATCCGACAGATTTCTTCAGGATCCATTGCATGCACAGGATCATGCAGTGCAAAGCAAACTAAAGGACAGCAGTGCATTTAGGACTGAGCACAGGACACATTTTACAAGAGGGTCTTTACGCCCTGGGCCCTGTTGTAGGCGAGACCCAGGAATCTGGAATTAAAAACCAGTAGTGGGTTCCTCAGTGCTGCAGTGGTCAGAACTGCTGCCTCACGGAGCCCTGGGTTTAGTTCCTGGGATCCTCCAGGTGCTCCAGTTTCTTGTCCCTCTCCAAAGACATACCAGAAGGTTGCAAAGGAACAAGTAATAGGTTTATTCCATGCTGAAAAAAAGACCCGCTTCTCTCACTATACCAGAAGGTTAATTGGCTTCCGGGACCTTCCTGTTCTGTAATTATCTCGAATGTTCCTTTCCCAATGTCCATTAAAAACCCTTGTTTTTACATTGTGTCGTAATTTCCCCGCGAGTGCGCGCTCCATCTCTTCGGGGGCGGGGCTGGGTCTCGGCGGGTAAGTCATGTCGAGGCCCCTCCCACACACACACCCTCCGCCAGGTGTGTGACGTCAGCCCGAAACTCGTCAAATGGGGCAGAAAAGGAGAATTTCGGTTCAGAAAACCTCAATCAAACAGATAGTCCTTTGAGAAAGGTCGCGTTGCCCGGACCTCAGGTAAGAATCTCGGGATGTTTTAATGTGAGCCGCTGAGCACTTTGACTTGTTTATAAGCTGAAATATCTTCTCTCTGTATGTGTTCCCCATGAACAATGTAGTTAAACTAAAATGATGTCGATAGAACTAATGAATATTCCTTCTGGGATATTCGGCTGCTTGTGTACCAAACGAAAGACTGTTTTTACCCCACTTATTTCTTCTTGTTTAGTGCGCGGTGGGTGAGGGAGACCAGTTTTCTTTTATTAGATTTGGGTTATTTTTCTTCAATTATGTCAATTAATTTGAAGTCCGTTAACAGGTGGGTAGCTGGTCCATTGTTAGTTGGTAACACCTGGATTCGTTTTTGACCTTTGTAACATTTTTAATACTTACTCTAATTTCAAATGATATTTTGTTGTAATACCAATTTATCGCACATCCCGCCGTTTGGAAATGAATTACAAAGCATTTTCCGTGGACAAAGTCATATTGTTGCATGAAATCCTAGATTGGGGAGACTCTAAGAGTTCTTGGGGAAACTAGCTTTATCACGCTCTCAGAGTACGATTATTCAGGTGTATTTTTTTTTACACACAAACCTTCGAGTTCAGCAGTTTTAAGTACCAATCAGTGCGACGCACATCACTGCTTGTAAGTATTTGACTGCGGATCATCGCGTGTTGTAGGAACTAATCGCAACACGGTGTGGTTCACCCTCCAGGCTACTCTGTAAGATACACAAGGCGTGATTTCCAATTTTTCCAGAACGGCTTGCTCTTGTGGGATAAGGACGCGTGTCTTTTTAAAGCAAATAAAAAGTTTGGTCCATCCGCACCGTCAGGTAGTTTGTCGCTTAGCGACCCAAGGTTCTCTTCCAGCTGTTTCTAGAAGAAAGCCAGGGTGTCGGATTGTAAAGTATGGAGCACGTTAACCACGGCTCTTGAAGTTGAATATACTGTATTTAGGCCGTTAAGCGACGCGTCCCCACTGAAATGTTTGCGGTCTCCTGTTTCGAGTTAACCGTGGGTCAGGTGGAGGTGTAGTGCGGACTACGTCCAATTAAGGACCAATTTGCTTGCGCAAATCCGGCCAGTATAAGGTTTTCATGAGAATTAAACTTTTCCCTGTCTGTGTGGGGAAAAACCCAACAAGCTAACGATAAGTGACTTATATTCACCTTCCTACGTTTTAACTCTTTAGACTGTGTTCTGGATGCTCATTTGGAATTGACTAGTTGAATCGCTCGTAATTTGTTTTTTCTCTGCACGACCAAACAAACGGGAAACCTCAACCAAGCGGTCCGAGCACTCGGGTGTATCCCGCTGTCGGTGCAGGTACTCGCCGGGGTCCTATCGAAAGAGTTCGGGACTCCTGCCCGCGAACATGCCGGTACTGAACAACCGCGACCACCCCCTGCAGCGGCACCTGCAGTTGAAACAGCAGTGACCGACATGGCCTCTAGGCGGCAGCAGACTCTTAAAACGGGACGAATAAGAATTATAAAACCCTCATCCTCCCCCCCCCCCACACAAATCCTTTTAACCCTCAGGTGCTGCCTCAATCTAGATTCCGTTTTTATCACACGCCCAAAAACAGTCAGGCTGCTGTGACTGAGATACTGTTCGATAAGGAGGTGAACTGCAGTCGGCGAGATCCAGCTCTGCTCCTGCAAGAGATCAGACCTTCACTCCTGCAGGGTTGCAGCTCGGACTGGCATGACGCAGCGCTGCGGTCCGTTTCGGGTTTTCCCGGGCTCCGGCGCTGGCTAGAGTCGAGCCCATGGGCTGGAATGTGAAACGACCACGCCGGATCCCCTTGCTCCCTGACCAGGGCTGGGCTGCTTCCCCTTGTAGAAAATCCCAAATCGCCAAAGTCCTGCCATTGTCCTGCGCCGGGAAGAGCCTGGAGAAACACTAGGTTTCACTAGCCCCCACGCCCAGCCCTGCTGCCCGGCCTGTGGCGTATGTGGCGCAGGGGCCTTGTCGATGGAGCCCTCGAACGGGTTCAACAGCTTCTCCGCTCAGACGGAGGTGGGTTGTTATTGAATGCCAGTCCAGGACTCTGGCTGAGGTGTGGGGTCTGAGAGGAGCAGTTTGATGTGGCTGGGGTTTGGGGGGGGTGAGGATAACCCCCCCCCCCCAATCTGAAATGGCCTGTAGGTGTGTGTATGTTGTCAGAACAGCTGGTTGCCACATCCAGTGCTATCGATGTGGAAGTGTTCGTTTTTAAGTGTATAGGCTTGGGATGAAGTGTTTTTTTTTTTGTGGGGGGGGAGAGGACTCTGTAGATGAAGTCTGAGGGTTCCTGGTTTGAGAGTTTTGTTGGCACATTGAGTGGCACAGCTGGTAATTGGGAGGTGGGGGGAGTTTGATTCGTCCAAATTCAATTAAATGCAGTTAATGGTTAATACATGCTCATGCCTGACACCCTCTAAGTTGAAGCACTCATGCACCATAGCAAGCTATATCCCTGTTGTAGTCAGTGGTTTGATCTCTCCAAGTAACCCACTCTATCAAGTTGGATGTGTCTGATTCTGCCTTTGAGTTCACCCTTCATGTGTTGCTGGGCGAGCTGTTGTGCAGACCTGAGGGCGGTGTTGGGGTTTTTGACGGATTCCCCAGGGCATCTCTGCTGCAGTGCTGAAGCTTGACCTGTGTCCTCTGTCCAGTATGACAGCGAAGTGGCCT